ACCACCACCCACTCAACGACATGAATGCTCTCACCATTTACACATGATTTCTGTTCGAAAAACAAATTACCAAATAAAATCTTTTTGCATCTGAATTCAGCCGACGAAGCAATTCGCTATCGAAATATCAAACTTAGGCATTTCTAGAAAAAATTCACAACTCACTTCTAGCTTGTAAAAAGCCGACACTGTTTACCGCGGGCAAATTGTCATTCCTACGAGCACTCTACGGTTCTAGCGTAGGCGCCCTTAGGTTAATAAGGAATGAAGTGCAAGTTATTCCAAACCGATTGAGGCATCATCGATAAAGCCTTTATCCTACAACTGATGGTGAGAGGTTACTTTTCTATAATAAAACCTTCGTCTTCAGGTTCGACAAAAATCAGCTATCTATGAGAATCAGTCGCCTTGAAAGCACAAAACCGAAAAACGACAAGCGTATCGAAACTGTGGAAGGCGTCGCTCAAGCCGTTTGTGAGTATTAATTTGATTTTTATCGATTGCACTTGAAGCCCATAAATAGACGGTACCTGAGGGCACACGACAAGAGGCCCGTCGCGCGGCGAGAAAGCGTAGACGCAAACGGGTCAGTGGATGAGTCGCCGCGTGTACTGTAGCGATTTCGCGTCAGGTCAAATAGAATGTACTATAGTACGTCCCACATCGCACAATACGCGCTGCGACTCGTCCGCCAATCCGTTTGCGTCTCTGCCTTCTCGCCGCGCGACGGGCCTCCTGTCGGGTATCCTAGAAATACGAATACGGAAGGGCGATTGTAAAAGATCGCTGCATAATTTTAGACAAGCGACGGAAAGACATCGCGAGATTCTCTGGCGCTCAAGTGGACGAAACTGGCATCGGAATAGGAGAGGTGAGCTGTAACAACTTCTGTTATCTTTCACCATACCGTAACTCAAAAATTCCACTCAGGACTCCGTGCCTGTTGAGTCATCGGATCGCGACTGGATGTTCATGCCTGTGCTCTTTTATCTGTGCATTCACCATCACAGCGCTCGTCTCGGTCCTTGCAGTGAGTACACTGTTGGTCATTTCCGCCCGGTCGTGAGAAAATTCCTGGAATTTAGGTGCATCTGGTGAAGCATCGACGTTTTTACGCCACCAACATCACACGTGGTGAAGATGTTGAAGGGAAGAGCAGTTTAGCTTATCAGGTTGGTCGGTTTAACAAGATTATAAGTTCAGGAAAACAGGATGGAATACC